TTTCACTTCCGAAAATCGCTTAAATGCAAATATCCAATTAAGAAATAAAGATATTTTAAAAACAAGTTTGAGTGATATATTCGGCTGAGCCGACTCTTAAATACCCTCCACCAGCTACTTTTATATTAATACTTTTTTAATTGATCAAATATTTGTAGAAATAAGTTTTCTCATGTCTTAAATAGAAAAACCCCAAGATTTAAACAGCTTAAATCTGTTACAATTCCAAAATTTATTGAACATTACAATTTCTTTTATATTTTTATAGCGCCCTAAAATATGCTTTAACGATATTTAATAATGTGAATGTATGCATGTGTGTGAAATATTAAAGGATTTTCAAAATACATATATATATATAATTTTGTTCTACACAAATCGATAATGCAACTAGTTAAATACGGTTAAAGTGCTTTTAGGGGCAGGACCTAGGATGGGAGATATGACCAATTATAGACCGATCGTAAAAAAAATCGTTAAGCTAAATTTCTATACATAAAAGCTATATTTCAGTCAAATTTTGTATCTATATCGTAATTTAGTAATAATTAATGTGTGTTCGTGAAAAAATCTTGAAATAGAATTTTTGTATACCAAACTAATATTTGTGCCAAATTTTGTATCAATAGCTTTATTTGGTAATGAGTAATGGGCGTTTAAGAGATTTTCGTAAAAGGACCTTGTATGGGAGCTATGAACAATTATGTATATAAAGACAAAATTTCAAGATTCTGTATCTATATCATTATTTAGTAGTGAATATTGTGCATTTAAGTGATTTTCTGGAGGGGACCTAGTATGAGAGCTATGACCAAATACGGACCGATCGTAAAACAATTTTATAGTGTAATTTATGTATATAAGAGCAATATTTGTGCTAAATATATGGATATCAATATTTTGTAATGAGTTATGATCGGAAAAGTTAATGTTAAGTTAATGATCGGAAAAAAATTTTACAATAATATTTCTGTGCATATGAGCAAGACTTGTACCAAACTTTATATGGATATTTTAATTTAGTAATGAGTTAAAAAAATTTCACGGTGCATATGAGCAATACTTGTACCAAATTTCATATGGATATCTTAATTTAGTAATGAGTTATGCGCGTTTAAGTGATTTTCGGGAAGGGACCTTTTATGGGAGCTATGACCAATTATGGACCGACCGGAAAAAAATTTCATAGTAATATTTCGGTGCATATGAGCAATACCTATTCCAAATTTTATATGGATATCTTAATTTAGTAATGAGTTATGTGCGTTTAAGTGATTTTCGGAGGGGACTTTGTATGGGAGCTATGACCAATTATGGACTGATCGGAAAAAAATTCATAGTAATATTTCTGTATATGTGAGCAACACTTGTACCAAATTTTATATGGATATCTTAATTTAGTAATGAGTTATGTGCGTTTAAGTGATTTTCGGGAAGGGTCCTTGTATGGGAGCTATGACCAATTATGGACTGATCGGAAACAAAATTTCATAATAATATTGCTGCGCATATGAGCAATACTTACTCCAAATTTTATATGGATATCTTAATTTAGTAATGAGTTATGTGCGTTTAAGTGATTTTCGGGAGGGGACCTTGTATGGGAGCTATGACCAATTATGGACTGATCGGAAAAAATTTCATAGTAATTTTTCTGTATATGTGAGCAACACTTATTCCAAATTTTATATGGATATCTTAATTTAGTAATGAGTTATGTGCGTTTAAGTGATTTTCGAGAGGGGACCTTGTATGGGGGCTATGTCCAATTATGGGGCGTCATGAAATAACTCCCCAAAACAAAAATGAAATAAGTCCTAAAATTTGGGTACTTATTTCATTATGAAATAATTCCCCAATTTAAAAATGAAAAAAAGCCCCAACGAAATGAAATAACTTCATAAATTAAAATGAAATAACACCCCATTTTTGGGGATTTATTTCATATGAAACAAATTCCCAAATTTTGAAATGAAATAAGTTCCCTTTTAAAAATAACAAATTATGGAACAAGTCGGTTTTAGTGATAATTTAAAAAAAATTAGGTCGCCCATACTTTCGAGTGGGCTTCAAAGTTTAATACATTTCAGTTTAATCGCTTTATAAAGATTCCTGTAATAGCCGACCTACGGCCGGGCGCAAGGACTTTATAATCTGTGGTATGTCCAAAAACGGCTTCGCTTAATAAATATTTCCTAAATAGCCGGCCTACGGCCGGACGCAAGGATTTACTACTCTATAATATGACCAACACCGGCTTCGCTTAGTAAAGATTTCCTAAATAGCCGGCCTAAGGCCGAACACTTTTGATGCAGGGAGAGTGTATTCTTAGCGAAGCCGGAGTCCAATCTACCCCAGAGGATAAAACCCTTGCGCCCGGCCGAAGGCCGGCTATCAGACATATATTTTTTGGCGTCATGAAATAACTCCCCAAAACAAAAATGAAAATTTGGGGATTTAATTCGCTTTTTGGGTATTATTTCACATTTTAAATGGGGAGTTATTTCATTATGAAATAATTCCTCAAAATTCAAAAATGAAATAAATCCCTAAAAATATTTTTGGGGAGTAATTTCATTATATTACTTTTGTCACATGAAATAAAAGGCGCTGCGAATTATGGCCCCAGGTAAAATGGCCCCAAAATATAAAACGAAAAATTGCCCCAATGTTGGGGTCAAAATTCATTATGAAGTATAACCCTAACATTTTTTAAGAAAAATTAATGAAAAATCTCCCCAAGGTTGAAATGAAAAGTGGCCCCAAATATTTGGTTAATTTTTCGTAATGAACAATTCCCCAAAAACGTAAATGAAATTTCACCCCATTTAATTTTAATTCAAATATAGGTGGCGTGTCATAAAGGCCAGTGTTATATTTTCCATGGGCGTTATGACTCATTAAATTGAGTCTAGTGTCCATGGACGTTATAATAATTTCAAAAGTTTCACAATGCATATGAGCAATGTAACATAAAGTCCATGGATTTCAAAGAGTCCATTTATCAAAAGAAGGCTTAATTTAGCGAAGCCGGTATTCGAAATACCTCAGAGTTTAAAATCGCTGCGCCCGGCCGAAGGCCGGCTATCCAGAACACTTTTTAAATGGAAACCAAAATGCAACATACAGCAAATTTAGGATAAATTCCTTTGGGGGAAAGAGTGTCCCTTTCTTAAATTCTTTACAAATTTTCAAATACAGTTCTGTTTTAAAAGTTATACCATGTCAATGGACATTATAACACTTTTAAAAATTGTCATAACGTCCATGGACACTATGAAACTTTTTGGTGTGTCATAACGTCAATGGACATTATGACACCCCATCTCAAATATATGCTAATATATTTATAAAATTTCATATTTAATAATTTTTGTTGTATTTTCATAAAATGTTTGTTAATTTTGAACATTCTTGAAATATTTTTTGTAAAATCGCGCAATTTTACAAAAAATATTTCAAAAATGTTCAAAATTAACAAACATTTTATGAAAATACACAAATATTATTACATAAATATTTTTTATAAAATCGCGCGATTTAATAAAAAATATTTTATGTAATAATATTTGTTGTATTTTATATATAAAAAATCGCGCGATAATGTTCTGATTTTTTATAAAATATTAATAAATAGTAATAATGAAGGATCACCCCTAATTATTATATGGTTTTTTAGGTCCCTTTTTAATATTTTAATATTCTTTGTTGGGGTCATAATTCGCTAATAACGGCGCTGCGAATTATGGTCCCAGGTAAAATGGCCCCAAAATATAAAACGAAAAATTGCCCCAATGTTGGAGTCAAAATTCATTATGAAGTATTACCCTAACATTTTTTAAGAAAAATCACCCCAAAATTAATGAAAAATCTCCCCAAGGTTGAAATGAAAAGTGGCCCCAAATATTGGGTTAATTATTCGTAATGAACAATTACCCCAAAAACGTAAATGAAATTTCACCCCATTTAATTTCAATTCAAATATAGGTGGCGTGTCATAAAGTCCAGTGTCATCCAGAACACTTTTTAAATGGAATCCAAAATGCAACATACACCAAATTTAGGATAAATTCTTTTGGGGGTACTTTTATCCCTTTCTTAAATTCTTTACAAATTTTCAAATACAGTTCTGTTTTATAACGTCAATGGAAAAATTTCATATTTAATAATATTTGTTCAAAATTAACAAACATTTTATAAAAATACAACAAATATTATTACATAAAATATTTTTTATAAAATCGCGCGATTTAATAACAAAATATTTTATGTAATAATATTTGTTGTATTTTATATATAAAATATCGCGCTATAATGTTCTGAATTTTTATAAAATATTAATAAATAGTAATAATGAAAGATCACCCCTAATTATTATATGGTTTTTTAGGTCCCTTTTTAATTTTTTAATATTTACGTATTTTACAAAATTTAGCCCCAAAGGAAAAAAAGTTTTGTTTTGGGGTATTTCTTCATTTCACAACATAGGGGTCATTTTTATTTTTCGCAAAATGCAGTATTACCCCAAATGTAAAAATGTTGTGAAATGAAGAAATACCCCAAAACAAAACTTTTTTTTTCCTTTGGGGCTAATTTTCATTCTTAAATTTTGTAAAATACGTGAATATTAAAAAATTAAAAAGGGACCTAAAAAACCATATAATAATTAGGGGTGATCTTTCATTATTACTATTTATTAATATTTTATAAAAATTCAGAACATTATAGCGCGATATTTTATATATAAAATACAACAAATATTATTACATAAAATATTTTGTTATTAAATCGCGCGATTTTATAAAAAATATTTGTAAAGAATTTAAGAAAGGGATACTGTACGATGAAGAGCTTTTTCTTCACCGGCAACGATATAGAGCAATTCGGTCTACTTTGAATTGTTGTCTATAGGTTGCTGAAATGTTCGATGGGCAGTGATTAATTAACAAACACAAAAGAACTACCGTGGTACCGAGACACGAATAAAAGATGATGTTCGATTGAATTCAACTATGACAATGATTTATTTATTTAAAAATTCTTTTCTTAAGCCTAACAATTGATCATGTAAATAAGGGCTACACTGTTGTTATTGTAATATTATTTGTTTCTCACTTCCAATGTACCAACTCAACTTGTTTATTTATATTCAAAATATGCAAAAACAAAATACATGCAATAAGTCTCCAAAATAAGAAATTGCATTTTTAAGAGCAACAACAATATGCTTATAATAAGAATTGGAGTGAGAAACAAATAATAAAAACTAACGGGTCATTACCAAAAATATGTACAGTGGTTAGTATGAACAAAAAATAATGACAAATTACAGTGGCAACAGTGAGCCAAAAATATGAATAAATTTAAATACAATAAAAAATGGAAAATTTAAACAAAACAAAATAATAATGTTAGTAATTATTATACGGTGACCTAACATTCCGGCCCCATTGAAAGGACACTTTCAAGAAGATAGAAGAGCCAGTCTGTGGATAGGGCGACGTATAACTCCTTTTGTAGTTTTGATGTCGACAACTCGAACACGATCATCTCTTCCACGAACAATGTTGATGATTTTACCCATGAGCCAACGCTGCGGGGGTAAATTATCTTCTTTGATGATGACTAGGGAACCAGGGGTAATATTAGAGTTGGTGCTAGTCCATTTGTTGCGAGTCTGGAGCTCATTTATATAATCATGGGACCACTTTTTCCAGAATTGTTGCTTGATGGCGCTTATTCGGGCCCAATATTCAAGTTTGTTAATCTCATTTGTAGGGACATCACGTTCTGGCAAACTACGGAGGGGAGCGCCTATCAAGAAGTGTCCTGGTGTAAGAGCTTCAAAATCACTGGGATCTGAGGATAGAGGCGAAATGGGCCTCGAGTTTAAAACTGCCTCTATCTCAATCATAGCCGTTGCGAGTTCTTCGTAGGTGAGCCTTGTGTTGTCCAGGGTTCTGGTTAAGTGACCTTTGGCCGATTTAACGGCCGCCTCCCACAATCCGCCAAAATGTGGTGCCCTAGGGGGAATAAATCGAAAATTAATAAATTGATTCGAGCAATAATTTGTAATAAAATTTGAATTTTTTGGCTCAAAAAGGAACGACTTTAATTGAGCCAACTTAGAGTTTGCACCAACGAAATTTGTTGCATTATCACAGAATATATCTGTGGGCAGACTTCTACGACCAATCATCCGTTTTAGGGCAGCAATGAAGGCATCTGTTGACAGGTCGGATACCACTTCAATATGGACAGCTTTGGTAGCGAGACAAACAAATATAGCGATGTATGTCTTGTAGGGGACCTTTCCTCTAATTCTTAGGTAGGTGTTGACTGGACCACAAAAATCGACAGCACACCTTGCGAAGGGCCTTGACGGGTTGAGTCGTTCCACAGGCAAATTTCCCACCATTTGTTGCAACAACTTTGGGCGATAGCGAATGCATTGAGGGCACGAATTTACAATGCTGCGACACAAATTCCTGGAGTTGATGATCCAAAATTGTTGGCGAATCAATGACATTAGAGCCTTGGGTCCAGCGTGGTAGTTACTGATGTGCAGATGACGTACGTAACAGTAGACGAAATGGCATTTGCTGGGCAAGATTATGGGGTGTTTTTGGCCTTCAGAAATTGCCGCGTACTCCAAGCGTCCGCCGACCTTGAGCAAGTTGAAACCATTTGACGAATCTAGGAAGGGGTTCAGACACTTTAGAGCACCTTGGGGATCTTTCTTCTTTAGAGCTCGAGTTATGTCATCTTGAAAATGTAGTTTCTGGATGTTGAAAACGATACAAAGTTTAGCATTTTCTAATTCTTGGGGCTGCAAAGAGTCAGAATTGGAAATATTAGTTTTTGTTTTTTGAGCAAAACGAAACATCCAGGCAATAATACGAATGATTTTTAAGTACGAGCTATATTTTCCAACAGAATCGAGGATGTAGTTAGATTTTGTTTCAAGATGAAGTACGGTTTTCCGCTTTTCTTTGTCGAATACTTGCTGATTTTCTTCGGAGAGTTTATCAGTTTTAGTAGGGGGCCACTGAACAGGATCGAGAGCGAGAAATGCTGGTCCGTTGAACCAGATGGATGAGGCGAGTTCCTGCACAGTTGAACCACGAGAAACGATGTCAGCAGGGTTGAACTGGGTTGGGACATGTCGCCAAACGCAGCCATTAGTTAGATCTTGAATTTCTGATACCCTATTGCCAACAAAAACTGACAAAGTAGATGAATGTTGCTTTAGCCAGTGAAGAACTAGTTGCGAATCTGTCCACAGAACGACTTCCAGATTTGGTATTGCGAAAAGATTTTTGATTTTGGAATACAATTTTGCTAGAAGCTGTGCGCCACATAACTCAAGTTTGGGTAACGATTTTCGCTTTGTAGGAGCAACTCTAGATTTGGCAGTAAAGAGCCGAACAACAACATTTCCTGAAGAAGTTTTAACACGAAAGTAAAAACAACAACCATAAGCTTCATACGAGACAATTCTTCAAGCGTATCTGAGCCACAAAGAAAATCATCAACGTAAAATGATGACTTAATGGTTTTTGCACCAAGTTCGAATTGGTCCATGTATTGGTCTGCGAGATAGTGAAGGCTTTTGATGGCAAGGTAGGGCGCAGCTGACATTCCATAGGTGACTGTATTTAGGTGATATGTTCGAATTTCTTCCTCTTCTGAATTTCTCCACAAAATATATTGGAATTTTCTATCTTGGGAGTCAATAAGGACTTGTCGATACATTTTTACTATATCGGCAGTAAGAGCGAAGCGATGAAGACGGAACCGAAGTAAAATTTTATACAGCTCATCTTGAATTGTTGGGCCAACCATAAGAAGATCATTGAGAGACTTCTGGGACGATGATGGACACGAGGCATCGAAAACAACTCTTAACTTTGTGGAAGTGCTACTTGGTTTGAAAACGCAATGGTGAGGGATGAAATAATGAGGCTCGTGTAGACGAGGGCTACGAACTAGACTCATATGTCCAAAATCTTCATACTCCTTCATAAAAGCAACATATTGTGATTTAAGATTGCTGTCACGAGCAAATCGTCTCTCTTGAGATACAAATCTTTTAAGAGCCATATTTCGAGAAAGACCTAAAGCGTCAGGAGATTCCTTGAAGGGCAATTTAACAACAATCCTACCAGAAGATTCACGATGAACAGTATCATTGAAAAATGTTTCACATTCAGATTGTTCTGGTGTCAAATCATTTGAGCCAGATTGAACTTCATCGATTTCCCACAAGCGCTGTAATTTAAGATCAATATCTTCTTCTATCGAGAGCATACAAGAAGAGCCACAAATATTGGGTTGTTTTGATACATAACGACCTGCTACAATCCATCCGAAAAGTGTTTTGTGTAATTTAGGCAAATTAGGGCCAAGTTTTATTTGACCAACTGCTAAAATGTCGAAAAACGTTTCAGTACCAATAAGTAAATCAATTCGTTTTGATTTGAAGAAGTTTTCATCCGCAAGTTCAGTATTTGGGGGCAAATTCCAGGATGAGACATCTAATTCATTATCAGGTTGATATGAAATATGAGGTGTGACACAAAATGAGAGGGAAACTTCAAAATCTGTGACTCGAGATTTTACATTTGTGGACGACCTATATTTAGATTTGCTAAGAGTGTTACCAATGCTAGAGACTTCAGTAGTTTGTTTTGTACGAGACAAATGTAATTTTTGGGAAAATTCATCGGTTATGAAATTCAATTGACAGCAAGAATCTAACAAAGCGCGTCCCAATTGATAGCGACCAGTGGAGTCACGAACTAGAACCATGGCAGTAGCAAGCAGCACCTGTTCCGGCGAGGATTTTTCCATATGGGTATGGACCGAGGCAGAAGATTCATTCAAGGCAACATGAGAAGTAGTAGGTTCAGCAGCAGGGGACGAGGGCCGAGAAGCTGGCTGAGACCGATGAAGCAAACTATGATGCGAGCGAGAACAAAATTTGCACTTGAATGTGGAGGAACAACTACTTACTTGATGCCCTTTGGACAAACAATTTAGACAAAGGCTTAGACGTTTTGCATTTTCATACCTTTGACTAACATCCATATCTTTGAACCGAGAACAACGACTAATTGAGTGGTCAGATTTGGAGCAAAGCACACAAGAGCGTTTTGATACCGAAAAAGTATAGCCAGGTTTTGAATTTTTAGATTTGGACTTACCAGATTGATGATCAGGCTTACGAGGGGCCACAAAAGTATGGTTGGTATCAACCGATTCCAAAAATTGACAACGCCTTTCAAGGACCTTGAAGCAATCATCCCATGTTGGCAATCTGGTAAAGTCCAAGGAATCTTTCCACTTTCTTCTGGTATCTTCATCCACTTTTTCCATCACTATGTAAATCAGCATGGAATTAGCAATATCACTATGTGAGCCAAGAGACAGTAAGGAACTATAAAGGGCAGAAACATTATCGACGAGACTTCGTAATTGGGCACAATTGTATTTGGACATGGCAGGAAGTTCAAAAAGGGCGGTAATATTTTCCATAAAAATAAGCGAGCTATTATCATAACGCGTTTTGAGCCTTTCCAGAGCCTTCGGGTAATTTTCGTTCGTAATCTGGAAAGCCTTGACCGTTTCTAGAGCTTGGCCTAGGAGGCAGTTGAGCAAATGATTAAACTTTTCAATATTTGATAGGCCAAACTCACGATCGATAACTTGATTGAACGACGTTATAAAATTCTTGTATTCACTGTACTTACCACTAAATGTGGGCAATTTGAGTTGGGGCAATTTATGGCTGGGAGCTGGGAAACAAATGGTGGACTCGGACAACGTTGTGTTATGAACATCTTCACCAAGCTGCGACTGGATATTCATTTTGGCTGAGATGTACAAATCTTCAATTTCGGGCCTAGCATTATCCTCGGGATCATATTTTTCAATTTGTGTTTGATACGTCAATATCTGTTTAAAATATGACTCCAGTATCCCCAAACGGTACTTCAACTCAGCAGACGAAAGTGTCTTACCTTCACCCCTTCCATTGGCTTCGATTTGGTTCTTGATGCGGGTAATACTCTTCTTCGTATTAGCCCGTTGCTGCTTAACCTCTTCCAAAGTCATCATAAATTTCCAAAAGTTTGGTTAAGTGAGCCAAAAATTTCCAAAAACAAATTTCAAAATGGATGATACTATGTATTGTAGAGCACCGACGCCAAAAGTTTTACGCCAAAAATGTTTATATACAAACTTTATGTATTTATTCACTTTCTATATAAATATGTACCGCAATATTCCGAGCGACAAATTTAGTATACACAAAATTCTATATTATGTACTGGAACCAAAAGCGAACAAATTTATGTATTTTCTTGTATATAAAGATTAGCGGTAAATTTATTTAACCCGAATTACGAGCGAACAAAGTTTATTTATTTTTGTACATAAAAATTTGCGGTAAAATTTTAGAGTCACTTTTATTTATTTTATTTTTCGACAAAAACTGATTCTATTTAGCGAGCCGACAAAATTTGTATAATGTTTGTAATAGGTATTAAAAAAAAATAGATTTGTAGTAGGTACGTCACTACAAATTTGTTTAACAGTTTTTTTTTTTGTTATATGTTGCACTGTCTAGTTTTTTTTTAAATGATTTATAATTTTTTTGTTGCATAGGTTTTTTTTTTATTGAACCACAAAGTTTTTTATTTTTCTTTTTGTAGCACTAGATATTGCCCTTGTAATAGAACCACTGTTTCCACTTCACAATATGACCGTAAACTTTTTCTTTAAGTTGTACTACAACAAAAAGTTTTTAGAATATACCACGGACCGAGAACGACAAATTTAGGAAGATTTAGATTAATCACTTGCCCCACGTTGGGCGCCAAAAATGTACGATGAAGAGCTTTTTCTTCACCGGCAACGATATAGAACAATTCGGTCTACTTTGAATTGTTGTCTATAGGTTGCTGAAATGTTCGATGGGCAGTGATTAATTAACAAACACAAAAGAACTACCGTGGTACCGAGACACGAATAAAAGATGATGTTGTTCGATTGAATTCAACTATGACAATGATTTATTTATTTAAAAATTCTTTTCTTAAGCCTAACAATTGATCATGTAAATAAGGGCTACACTGTTGTTATTGTAATATTATTTGTTTCTCACTTCCAATGTACCAACTCAACTTGTTTATTTATATTCAAAATATGCAAAAACAAAATACATGCAATAAGTCTCCAAAATAAGAAATTGCATTTTTAAGAGCAACAACAATATGCTTATAATAAGAATTGGAGTGAGAAACAAATAATAAAAACTAACGGGTCATTACCAAAAATATGTACAATGGTTAGTATGAACAAAAAATAATGACAAATTACAGTGGCAACAGTGAGCCAAAAATATGAATAAATTTAAATACAATAAAAAAATGGAAAATTTAAACAAAACAAAATAATAATGTTAGTAATTATTATACGGTGACCTAACAGATACTTTTACCCCCAAAAGAATTTATCCTAAATTTGGTGTATGTTGCATTTTGGATTCCATTTAAAAAGTGTTCTGGATAGCCGGCCTTTGGCCGGGCGCAGCGATTTTAAACTCTGGGGTATTTCGAATACCGGCTTCGCTAATTTAAGCCTTCTTTTGATGAATGGACTCTTTGAAATCCATGGACTTTATGTTACATTGCTCATATGCATTGTGACACTTTTGAAATTGTTATAACGTCCATGGACACTAGACTCAATTTAGTGAGTCATAACGCCCATGGAAAATATGACACTGGACTTTATTACGAAAATTAACCCAATATTTGGGGCCACGTTTCATTTCAACCTTGGGGAGATTTTTCATTAATTTTGGGGTGATTTTTCTTAAAAAATGTTAGGGTTATACTTCATAATGAATTTTGACCCCAACATTGGGGCAATTTTTCGTTTTATATTTTGGGACCATTTTACCTGGGGCCATAATTCGCAGCGCCGTTATTTCATTTTATTTTAGGAAGTTATTTCATTTCGTTCGGGCTTTTTTTCATTTTTAAATTGGGGAATTATTTCATAATGAAATATGTCCCCAAATTTGAGGACTTATTTCATTTTTGTTTTGGGGAGTTATTTCGTGGGGAGTTATTTCATGACGCTATATTTTTTATTTCGTGTGATAAAAGTAATATAATGAAATAACTCCCCAAAAATATTTTTAGGAATTTATTTCATTTTTGAATTTTGAGTAATTATTTCATAATGAAATAACTCACCATTTTAAATGTGAAATAATGCCCCAGAAAACGAATTAAATCCCCAAATTTCGTTGTTTTTGCTTTCTGAACAAATTTTTAGGGAGTTATTTCATTTTTGTTTTAGGGAGTTATTTCGTGGGGAGTTATTTCATGACGCCCAATAATGGACCCATCCAGAAAATTTTTTCTCTCAATGAATTCTATTGACATAAGATTTTAAGTTGTAAAATTTTGTGTAAATGTCAGCATTCTGACGGAAGTTGTTAACAAAAAACTCATTTTCCGGAAATATGTACTTTTGTATGGGAGGTATATGAAATTATGGACCGATTCTGGCAATTTTCAGCAGGAATCAAGATCTTGTGTAGAAACGAATGTATGATGACTTTCATGAAATTATCTTGCATAGTTTTCGAGAAAATTACATCAGAATGTATAGAAAATTCTTATTTTTTTCGGAGTTGTTTTAAATTTTGATTCAAAACTTTCCCCTATGTGAACCCATTTTGCTCATTTTCAATACCAAACTGTACCGGATAATAATGAATATTTTTGCTGAATTTCGTTAATTTCCATTGCTTCGTTTTAACGTGAGCGTGTTTTACACAGACAGATAGACGGACATAGCTAAATCGACCCAGAATTTCCTAAGGACCCAGAATATATATACTTTGTTGGGTCTCAGATGAATATTTCTTGGTGTTACACACGGAATGACAAACTTATATATACCCTCTATCACCACTAATGGTGGTGGAGGGTATAATAGCTATATAAATAAGTTTTTTTCGGATCGGTTCATAATTGTTCATATATCTGTCATATAAGATCCACTTCAGATGAGAACCTATAAAAAGGGACTTTTTGGTACTTTTTCGTCTACAAAAGGTACTTTTTGAATTTGTCATATAAGATCCACTTCAGATGAGAACCTATAAAAAGGGACTTTTTGGTACTTTTTCGTCTACAAAAGGTACTTTTTGAATTTTCTATAATATTGAACCTAGAAACTTGAAATTAAATATGCAGAGCCCGGATTAGGTCAGAACATACAAAAGGGGACTTTTTGGAAATTTTTCGTTCTACAAAAGGTACTTTTTGAATTTTCTATAATATTGAACCTAGAAACATGAAATTAAATATGCAGAGCCCGTATTAGGTCAGAACACATAAAAGGGGACTTTTTGGTACTTTTTCGTTCTACAAAAGGTACTTTTTGAATTTTCTATAATATTGAACCTAGAAACATGAAATTAAGTATGCAGAACCGGATTAGGCCAGAACACATAAAAGGGGACTTTTTGGTACTTTTTCGTTCTACAAAAGTTACTTTTTGAATTTTCTATAATATTGAACCAAGAAACATGAAATTTTGCATGTAGGGTCTTGATTAAGTAAGAACCTATAAAAAACTTTTGTACTTTTTCGTTCTATAAAAGGAACATTATGAATTTTCTATAATATTGAACCTAGAAACATGAAATTAAGTATGTAGAGCCCGGATTAGGCGAGAACACATAAAATGGGGAATTTTTGGTACTTTTTCGTTCTATAAAATGTACTTTTTGAAATTTCTATAATATTGAACCTAGAAACATGAAATTAAGTATGTAGAGTCTGGGTTAAGTGAGAACCCATAAAAGGGGACTTTTTGATACTTTTTCGTTCTTCAAAAGGTACTTATTGAAATTTCTATAATATTGAACCTAGAAACATGAAATTAATTATGTAGAGCCTGGATTAAGTGGGAACCCATAAAAGGGGACTTTTTGGTACTTTTTCGTTCTTCAAAAGGTACTTTTTGAATTTTCTATAATATTGAACCTAGAAACATGAAATTAAGTATGTAGAGTCTGGATTAAGTGAGAACCCATAAAAGGGGACTTTTTGGTACCTTACCGTTTTGCAATTGGTATTTTTAAAATTCATACTGACTGTTTTTTAACACATCATAGTGAAGGGTATATAAGATTCGGCACAGCCGAATGTAGAACTCTTACTTGTTTTAAATTAGGATCAATGCATAATTGGTCTTAGTTCTCATATAAGGCCCATTTTATAAGTCACTTTTTCCAATATATTTCATTCAATTATAAATATATAAAATCCAACATAGTGTGTTTTTTATCGATAAATCATTTTGCGAAATTTTGTTCGGATTGACCAATAATTGGCCATATCTCCATAAAAGGTGTATATGATTTCTAAATGATAGCACCCTCATCACGGAAGCACAATTTATTAAATACGTATCTAGTAATATATATAAAGTAGCTTACAGGTGGAGGGTATTTAAGATTTGGCATAGCCGAATATAGCACTCTGACTTGTTTATATTTTGAATGTTGATACCAAGGACATTCCTTTTCATTCGGCTGGCAGTGTCTGTCATTAAGCTGATAATTTTATTTTTTACTATAGCACTTATCTCAGCTTTTATGTAGCCACTCGCTTTTCTAAAATTACACCAATATTGTTAGAGTTCAAATTGATATTAAACTTTCTTCGTATGGTGCAATTTGTTGCTTAAAGCACTCCTGGTCATCAAATATCCCAAATGGAATATTTTTTTTTTTTTTTGTTAGCAATCCCACATTTCAGAAAATTTTCCTTATCCATTGCGGTGCTTAATTTTATAATTTTACCTTTCTTTTTTTGACATTCATCTCCACTATCACTTTCATTATCAATATCTTGTTTGTGAACTAGTTTATAATGTCTTTTTATATTTCCTTTTAATTTTCCACATATGTAGCTCCTTTTTGCACGTTTCTATTAATCATTTTATTTTTTCCAAATTTTAGGCATTGCTAGATAACGTTTAGTCAATTACAATATCAAATTTGCACTGTTCTTAATTTCTCATTCCTCAACTATGCTGAACAAAACACATATCAAAGACTGAATAATACAAAGATGTTATGTAATGATTTTCTCAACATCCAGTGAAGGTTTTAAAACCTTCACTGGATTTATCTTAAATCCATTAAGAGGTCTGAGTGAATGTCTGAGAGATAATGAAGATAATAATCTAGCGTACATACAAACAAATTTTGTAAAAGTTTACTCTAAAAAGTTAGTTTATTAATTTTTTTTAATAAAAACAACATTTATATATACATATTTGTGTGTAAAAAGAAAAAATTGCAATATGCTTTTGTAAAAAATAATATGTTTTTTAAAAACTTTAAATTATTTATAAAATATTTTACAAAAATTTTAAATTCCCTCCAGAGACCCTAGTCTGCTACATTACAACGGGCGTATGTCATCGTCACCCTGCTCGGTAAATTAGTTTAAAATATAACTTGTAGTTGTATTGTAATGGACAAATAAATATGTAAATACATATTTTCGTTTGCACAACAACAAAACATTCTCGTTTACCCTACTCTAATTTATTTGGAAGTATCCTTCTGTGTATTCTTTTCACATAAAATAAAATAAACAAACAAATTTTTTTCAAGAAAAAAGAAAAACAAGTTAGAGTGCTATATTGGGCTGAGCCGAATCTTAAATACCCTCCACCAGCTACTTTTATATTAATTCTTTTTTAATTGATCAAATATTTGTAGAAATAAGTTAAATAGAAAAACCCCAAGATTTAAACAGCTTAAATCTGTTACAATTCCAAAATTTATTGAACATTACATTTTCTCTTATATTTTTATAGCGCCCTAAAATATGCTTTAACGATATTTAATAATGTGCATGTATGCATGTGTGTGAAAGATTTAAGGATTTTCAAAATATATATAATTTTGTTCTACACAAATTGATAATGCAACTAGTTAAATACGTTTAAAGTGCTTTTAGGGGCAGGACCTAGTATGGGAGATATGACCAATTATAGACCGATCGTAAAAAAATTCTTTAAGCAAAATTTCTGTACATTAAAGCTATATTTCAGTCAAATTTTGTATCTATATCGTAATTTAGTAATAAGTAATGTGTGTTCAAGTGATTTTCTGAAGGGAACCTGAAGGACCTTGTATGGATGCTATGTCCAATTATGGACCCATCCAGAAAATTTTTTCTCTCAATGAATTCTATTGACATAAGATTTTAAGTTGTAAAATTTTGTGAATATATC